TGAAGGAAAGGGATCATCAGCTGGGAATTCTCCCTTGAAAACTGTACTATTATCTAAACTTGACTTTAGGAGACTTTTTTCAATGTTTTCAATCCTGGCCATGATTGCATCTAAATCATGGTCTCTATTTCCACTCATTAGACTCGAATTCATGATCCTTTCATGAGATACTGGTGCTAAGGCACCATTTGTATTATTCTCAGATCCCATACCAAACATCAAAACAGAATCTGAAGAACCTGTCTCGTTCCTATAGCTTTGTTTCTGGACTTGCTGTTGAGGCTTTAATGTAATCGGACTCGAGTTTGCAAAAAGCTGCTCCAAGAAATTCCTTGATGGAAGTTTTTTAGGGGCACTGTACAGAATAGCGAGCTGGTCAAATGAACTTGTTTTATCCTTTGTAATACCTTGAATAATATTCAAAGCACCAATTGATTGGGCTAAAGCAATGCCGGTACCAGAAAATAATCGTCTTTGTTGATTTATTCCAATTGATTCAACATCCTCACCATTAGCGTATATTGCATTATTCAACTGAGGAACATTGGTAAAACTGGAAGGCATTCCATTTTTGTTAATTGAACCCACACAAAAAGCGTACATTCCTGTCAAATCGTCGCAAGGAAAGTCTAAGCTTCCATCTAACTCCTGTTTGCCATTATTTCCTGTTGGCAAGGCAAATAATATTCCATTCTCTCTTGAAGTTCTCCTCATGATATGCCTCAAAATTCTTGGAGCTGCTCGATTTTCTTCAATTGTCTTTGTATCAAACTTTAGAGGCAAAATAATATTTCTTGCTTTAGAAGTGATTGCAGAATCTATTGCTGAAGCTACCTCACTCAATGGAGCACCTTTCCTTGCACTATTCCAAACTTTATACCCAATACATTCAACATTCGCTTCTCCTGAAAGCACCATGGGACATGCAACTCCCTCAGGAAATCTGTCACAATCACATCCTGTCACATAAGCCATTGCAGTATCTTGACCTTGGCTTGTATCAATATTACTCAGTAATTTGGCATAAATTTCATATTCTTTATTTGATTGATCACTTAGATTCTGGTCCTTCATGTTTTCATCAATCTCAAATAATCTTCTTTTTGGTGAACTTCTGAAGAAATCATTATTCTGATTACCATAACTTGAACTAGAGTCTATATTATTCATCTGAAGAATTGTATCAAATCCAGTACCAATAAATGCATTAATTAAGTTAATTTTGTCTCTTTGAGATTGCGTCATATTCTTTTGTACATGTTCTGGAAGTTTATTGATAAATCCTTCAGGATGAAAAGAGGTAATATCATTATCATCATCGAAAACACTACCATTCATTTTGACAAATGTTGTTCCGGCTGTATTTCCGTGGAATGGATTGTTAGAAAACTTTGAAAGCTGTGAAAATGGAGAATTAAAATGATTCCAATTCGAATTAACAATTGGAGGAGTATTTTGATTCTTCATATTATTTGCAAATTTATTGATTTCTGTTTGATTATTCTGACTATCAATAAATGACGGTTGCTTTATTCCACCCTCATTTTGCTTTGATATAGTCTTTCTCATCCATTCTGAAGTTGATGGAGAATTAATGGTTGGGACTTTTAAATCAATATTACTCTTTCCATTAGGAGTTACTTGATTTGGATTAATAGTTTTAATACCATTTGCTGCGTAATATGATTGAGGAGTGGGGGAAGAAGAAGTTGATAGATAAGCTGAGCTCTGTTTTCCCCATGTATCTATTGATTCAAAAATATTTGGGGCTAAACCAGAACCAGACTGAGAATGAACTCCTACTTTATTAGAATTACTGCTTGGATTACTTTGGGGAATACTATTAAATCCAATAATGGAATTATCAATTGTATTGATAGGATTATTATTTGAACTTGGATGAAAACTTCCTCCTTTAAAGTGGTCACCTTGAATATTGAGTTGGTTTTTGTCATTTTCATATCCACCAATTACATTATTGTTACCCTGTGGTATGGGTTTATAACTCCAGTTAGAGATTGACGGGGAATTATAATAGTTATTATTTGCATTTGTTTCGGGATAATTTACGTGATTTTTGTAGTTATATTCTGGAAACTTTTGGTCATTTTTGACTGCAGGGTTCCCAAAAGGAGGTGGGAGCTTTGCAGCGGAATCACTCATTCCTTTGAAGATCACTGTTGCTATATTCATTGCAAGATCATTGTCCAAGCTGATATCCTCCCTAGACATATCTACAGGAACAATAGGAGATGTTTGATTTTTGAACTTTTGAGATAGCTCAGTAATGTTTTTTCCTTTGATATTCATCCCAAGAAGGTATAGTGGAGATATTGTTAATTTAGAATTGCTATCTGTTGGGTCCATTTTTCCAAAAATTGGATCTTCAATTTCCTGGACTGGTGTATATCTAGATTTTTCTTCCTTGTTTGAGAAATTGGATAAAAAGCTGAGTGCATTCCAAAGAGAAGATTGCTTTCCTCCGGAAAATGATGTTGATGAAAGAGCAGGATTATTGAAATTTGACGACGAAGAGGATGGGGATGAGAACACATTTAGTTTATTGAGTATATTGGAAGCTTCATTGAACTTTTTCAAAAAGTAACCATCCAACTCTTTGTATAGTTTTGCTTCATCTGTTAAATATTCCATGCTTTGATTGTTATTCGTAACATTTCCTTGAGACTCTTCAGATTTCAAGATTCGATTAAAATTTGCAAAATTATTAGGAATACTGCTCCAATTCCACTTATAGCTATTACTATCATTTTCAGTATATTTATCTTCATTTTCACTTTTAAATACAGTTTGTTCACTCAAAAGAGAATCTTTAGTGCAGTCAGCTTTGTTTAAAATATCCAACTTTTTGATAAGTTTCAAACCTTCAGCCAAGGGAAATATACTACGCTCCTCATACTCCTTAATACTTGATCTAACATCAATTACAAGAACTCCAAGTTTCTCGTAAAATTCAACATATGAAAATGGCAATTCTGAAGTTTCAGTGTACTCATTTAATCTTTCAAAAAGCAAATCTGCCTCTTTTTCCCTAGTAAAAGTATTTTCTGACAATAATATACATATATACCTTGTAACTTTGTAACCAAATGAATGATAACCTTCTCTGTCTTTGGATGGACTATTTTCTTTACTTTCTTGGTAATAGTTACAGTTGTTTCCAAAGCAAATATCGCCCACTCCCACAATTGGACTCTTTGTTTCCTTAAATAATATTGGTGGGGCAGGGCTCATATATGTTACTGGATCATCTTTTCTTTCCTGAGCCTTTTCATCAATTGATGAAACTCCCGGAAAGCTGATGGTAAGGTATACTAGTACTAATAGTGATAGAGTTTTAAATACCAAGTCTTTCAAGACACTCCCCGTAAACATTTCAAATAGTCAGTTGAATTTCCTTTTTATTTTGCTATATTAATTACTTTTTAGCTTTTGTTTCCTTTAATGTTAAGTTTTTTCTCTTGTATTTTAACTTTTCTATCTTATTTCAAGCCTATTATTTTTCATGTATACTATCTTCAATTTAACTTATAATTACGTTATTAAATATCTTTAAATCTCAAATACATTTAACTCTATTCTCTAGGTTTAACTTTTTTTGTTAATCATATTCTTTTTATATTCTTTATTTTTATTCTTTCCTTAAATTTACTATCTTTATTTTGTTTTTATTATGATTATAATACAACTCTCGAATTTATGTAAAATTAAATACTTTTCTTTCGCATGCAACTGCTTCTATTTATGATGTTATGCCCACTATTTTTTGAAAAAATTGATATACACGTGTTATACACATTTTTTCATAAACCGGTATTACATGCATTCTTGTGGAAAACTTGCATGCAATTGACGAATTTGGGCGGGTATAAAATATAATTTTTTAAAAAATAAAATCAGTGAATGATTATACTTTTGCCTTTTTTTTACCAGCTAAATTTTAATTGAGCAAAGGTTTGAGATGTTATCAGATAGAAAAATAGGTATGTGAATTAAAAAGGTTAATAATGCTGTTGGAGTGTTTACAGTTAAAATTAATTATTCTTTATTTAATCGTAAAAATTTATAAACAATATTTAGGTTTTATTGGGTGTGGGAATATTGCGAATGCAATTATATCAGGGTTTTTATCGTCTAAAAAAATAAAATCCAATCAAATTTTTTTATTTGATTCTAACAAAAATCCGCTAGAATCACTAAAGAAAGAATTTTCTGGAATTAATATGTCAGAAAATCTTCAAAGCTTAATTGATAATTCCGAATTAATATTTATATGCGTAAAGCCACATATTTTGAGCAAAATTCTAAGTGAAATCAATGATTTGAATATAGAAAGTGATCTAACGTCAGGCGAAAAAGTATTAATTTCAGTTTGTGCAGGAAAAACTATTAGTGATATATTAAAGGAATTTCAGTCAAATGAAATACACTGCATAAGAGTAATGCCAAATTTAACCTTATCAATTTGTCAAGGATCATGGCTTTATCATGAAAATCCTGTTGCACACTTTACTAAGTATAAACAAAATGATTCAAATGAAATCATTGAAATCTTAAGTTCATGTGGTACAGTTTATGAAATTAATGAAGATATCTTCTCGCATTGTACTAGTATTAGTGGATGTGGGCCTGGTTACTTTTCTAATATCGCTCATCACTTCATACAATCTGGAATCAAAATTGGAATTCCTGAGGAACTTGCAAGAAAGCTTGTCATAGAAACCATTTATGGCACTTCCAAGTTACTTTTTGAGTCTTCCATAGATCCACAAGTTTTTCAATCTAAAGTCTCTACTCCTGGAGGTTCTACTCAAGCAGGAATTGATATACTTGAGGATCGACAAATTGGGAAAATTTTTCAAGATTGTCTTTACTCATCATTAAATAGATGCAATCAACTTAGTAAAAGTTAATTCCAGTAGCTATGTTAACCCCCAATTTTTACATGAATTACCTTATTTCAAACAACGTCACGTGCATTAGGGTTGTTAGTCTAGTGGTATGATTCATGTTTCGGGTACATGAGGTCCCGGGTTCGATTCCCGGATAACCCCTCTTTAATATTTGTGAGAAGCCTGTGGCTCTTTTCTTGTCAATTTTGGTTAAAGTCGCAATTATTAAGTCACATAAAAAGAACGATTTTAATATTCGTGTTTTTTCATATTTTTTAAATTTTAGATCCATGTTCTTGAGAAGTTCCTTCTTTACACCACAATTGTACCAGCAATACAAGTATTGAAAGCAAATTAGCCCGTGAGCCATTTACTCTAAACTTCATTTGTTTAACCCTATAAAAGCACGAAAAAGAGCTGATTGAATAATCAGACGTAAATTTCCAATACAAAAGACTGCATAACATACTCTAAACTGATAAAATTTAGATTAAAATTATAAAATAATTTCTAATCTACTTGTATACCTAAATTGTTCGTGTTACTTGCATTCAGTTGCAAATAAAACAAACTAAGATCCAAAAAACTCTCGTATAAGTGATATCGATTCAAAAAATTAAAGGAAAGTTAGAAGAAACGACAGCCCGATAGAACCAAAACATTAGCACCCACTTCATATCTCTATGCAGTAATTCAAAAGAAAATAGTTACACAGGAATATAATGTTCCTAGACTTCTTTCCAATTCCAATCCCTTGGCAAAAATAATCACATTAATATACTAATGAAGGCTATAAAATGGTCACAAACCAGAGTCTTATGATTGTGGATTGCATTTTCTGCGTCCAGCAACAACACTGACGAATCTTCTGTTATATTGTTGTCTCTTCTTGGCTCTTCCAGTCAAAGCCTTCTTCTTCTCCTGTTTCTCTACACGTGGAGTTTGATTCTTTACTTTACCTGCACGAGCTAATGAACCGTGTGCTTTAGCCATATTTCAGAATTTATTAGAATAAGATTTATCGAGTAATGAAATAAACTTTAATAATTGGAAGAAAACAACCCTTCTGGCAAGGAATATTTTAAACTTTATTATTATTAATTTCCAAATATACGTATTATTTTTATCTTTTATCTACTATTTAAATTAATATTTAAAACTTCTAGTCAGTAATTTTTTAAATATTTTCTAAACTATTATTGACAAATTAATTGTTTAATATAATTAAAGGCGTCTCAAAAACGAGACATGGCGCCCAAACCACATGGCGCCACACGTATATTTTTTTGCATGTAATTATTCAAGAAGCAATCAAATATTTATTTAAAAAAATAAATATCAAATATTTGCTCCAATGAAGTCAGCACATAAATGTTGAATAGCCAATTTAGCTAATTTATTTCCACAATGGCTCTCAACTTAGCACAATTACAAATACAATAATTTTTTTAAAAAATTATTTTTAACTTTTTAATTGACAGATTCAAGAATGCAGCAAAGTAAATCTGGCGGTAACTTACAAAATGAGAACAAAAGTAACAACTTGGACAATTTTTGAAAAAGATACTGTAATTTCTTTGATTTAATGGGTGCAAATGAGGTAGAGGAGCTTATATTAGCATTAGGAAGGGAAATGGGGAGGAGTGATCAGGAGATGAAGATATTTGTTGATACAATTGTGAATAAGAACTGGTACGACAGAATAGAACTATTAAAGGATGTTACGAATGAGCAATGGGAAACTATGAATATTCCCTTAAGGTTGGTTGATATGATTAGAAAACGAATATTTTCACAAGTGAATGAGCCTAAAACTGAAGAGGACTCGAAAGAAGAAGTAAAACAAGTATTAAAAGAAGATGATACTTGGGAATTCGAGTACTTGACACCAGAAAATCTTGAAATGACTCCATCGCTATATAATTCTATCGAATCATTAGACAGAATTTGCAAGGAAAAGTTAAAGACAGTAACTGATATATTGTTTAAGATCATTGATTCTATTATTAAAGAACCTAGAAAAGGAAAAATTAGAAGAATTAAAATGAAAAATCCTAAATTTGCATCCACTGTTGGAAGCTTTTCAGAGGCTTTGAATGTACTAAAGTCTGTGGGGTTTGTTCTGGTGAAGCTTAAACCAAGCCAAATACACAGGATTTCAGAAGATATTACTATTGACAAAGAACATGAAGAAGAAGAGGAATATCTCGAGCTTCCTGTTGCCTATATATCTCGCTTAACAGATTGTCATCATCTACTGGCTATCTTTTGTGAGAAAAACAGGATTGAATACCCAAAGCTTGTCTCTTGTGATTCAACTACAATCGATACCTCAGGTGAAGGCTCAGTTAAGATTTCTCACTTTAATCCATATGTTTCAAATATATCTTCAACCTCAGTTAGTGCAAATAATCAAGTTTCAAAGAAGCTAATGAAATCTGCTATTGAAGAAAGGCGAAAAATGGAATCTGAGATCAAGAAAAGGGAAAGAGATATGGAAAATGGGATTATTGATGAACATAATCTTCAGGGTAATGGAAATATCACTTGCACTAAACCCTTTGCTATTCATTCTTCGAATATACAAAAGTTTGATAACTTGGTTAAAGCAATCAATGACATGGAATCCAAAGAAGATTTTGATGAAGATGACACTTCTCACTTTGAACAATCTGAGATTCAGAGAATTAAAGATTCAATACTAGGAAAGGCTCCTACATTCAAAAGCAGAACTAATGAATATCTTAAGTCACTCCTAAAGAGGAAAGTTCATTCCCATTCATCTATTAGAGTTGTTTTTCCTGATAAATATATTCTTCAACTCCAATTTAGACCCAACCACACTACTTATGATCTAATTCAATCTGTTAAGGATTGCATAAATCCAAATATATCCTCCATGAATTGGTATATTTATCAATCTCCTCCAATCTCAAAAGTCATCCCAGACAAAAAACTTACTTTACTAAAAGCTGGATTTGTTCCTAATGCTCAACTCTACTTTAAGCTAGAACTTCCTCCTAATCATGCCTTAAAGGGGAACTATATTAAAGCTCAGCTATTAAATGAAGACATTTAGAGTCTAATTATATGCTCAATTTAAAAGAAAGGAGGGAATACAAATTAACCATAATATTGTTCATATTAGAGATAATTAAAAAGATACTCTAGAATTGAAAGCATATTTTCTGGAGTGATATTAGATTTCAGAACTATTTTTTCCTTAACAATAACCATAGTAATTTAAGATATCATGGTATTTAATTTCTATTTCGTCATAATTAGAGCAAATAAAAATTCGTTCTTTATTTTTTGTTTTAATTAATATTTAAAGTAAATACCAATGGAAAAACACTTAACATCGTTTCCTTTCGTTTATATTTGAAATATGGCAGCTTTAAATAGATTTTAATATCTCTCCTTACTTAATTAGTTTATCAATACACACTTAAGGTAGCGGAATTTTGACTCGTCTACTTAAATACTTAAATTAACTCGAATTGTTTAACTCTTGCGATTCGGGAGTTGAGATTGGGATTAAATGATGCAATTAAATACTATTTAGTAAAAAAAGACGAGAATTGAGCATTCTCTTCCACTCCAATTGGAAATTTATTCCAGAATTTAAAAATGACTCAGAAAGTCAGATATAGCGTGATTGCCGTTGCAACTAGTAGTCTTGGATCTATCTCCGGATTTTTTTGGAGTGTTAATACTTGATGATAACTTTGAATTGGATTCAGTTAACGTAGACATCATAACTAAATCGCTTCTTGGATGGAGAGTATTTCTTATTAAGAAATTTTCACTAGAAGTTGTACAGTTGGTTTCTTCAGAAGAGTTCACGCTACTTTTGATCTCTAGGAAGCTTTTGGAAGAGTGCTTTAGACTACAATCCTGCAAAAATCCATCTGCTGATACTCTTCTATTTGTAATAATTCTTTCCTCTTCAATAGTTGAAGGTGTAATAATGTCATCTTCTTGATCACAAGTATTGTTTGTAGTTGGCCTACTATTATTGGCACTATCAATATTACTACTTTCAATGTAGTTACTTGAGGTAAGACTACTTGAGCTTGCAATTCCACTCAACTCTCTGTTACCAAAGAATGAGCTAAGTCTTCCCGCAGAATTGGATGATAAAACTGGGGGAGCTTGCGTTGAGGGAGTATCAGGAAGAGTAAAATGATTGCCTGTATATTTATTATGACTTCTTGGTGAGTTCTTTGACTTGCTAGACATTCTTTTATAATTCTCACTTCCATTCGTTGCTACTTCATAGTAATTACCTTTTGGAGTAGCTTTGTTAATTACGATAGGAGTTTTTATATGCGAATTACTTTTTGATCCAACAACTGAAAAACTATTATTAGACTTTGCGATAGATAATCCGATAAGATGATTGGAAATCTTTTCTTGAAGGTTGTTAACACTTTCTGCCAATTTTGCAATATTTTTCACACATTGATTCACCAATTCCTCCTGTCTAATTTTGCTAGATGAACTGTCTTTTTGACTCATCTTTATTGTTTGTATCTGTATTCTTAGCTGCTCTGCTTGGGTTGCCAATTGAGTGATTACATTGTGGTCATGTCTTCTTTCTTCAGTAATCTGTTTAAATTGATCCTTAAGCTCCCCAAAGTTTTCCTTAAGTTCATTAGTAGCTTGTATAGTTTTGTTCATCTTTCTTTGAATTTCGTTTTTGAGTTGAGGAATGTCTTCTTGTATTACGGATTGAATAGAGTGAATATCTTCTTTCATTTGTTTAATGATAAAGCTCTGATCATCATATGACTTCTTCATAATTGATAAATTTTCAACATCTCTTTTTAATGATTCAACTTCAGCCTTAGTTTTCTCATTCTTAATCATTCTATTATTTAAAGAATCAAATTCTATCTGCAAACCTTCTAGTTTAGAGATAATACTTGGAATATTTGAGTTTTGAATTGAATTTCTGCTATTAACAGTCTCCGACAATAAATGGAAATCACTTTTTAACTTCCTAATTTCATTCTTCAATTCTCTCTCTTCTTGAGCTCTAAATTCTTCTTTATTCTTCAAATCTTCTATCTCAGTATGATACTTTCTTAAATCGCTGATTAAAAGAGTATGTAACTGAAGTTGTTGCTTAAGTTTCTCAAATTGAGATTCTACATTTT